AAAAGGCAGTAAATCTCAGCACTAACACCATCACTGAGTATGTGCTATTTTCCTGAAGAAACTGTGGAGAAGGAAAGAGACTGAGGTTGGATAAATATCTACTAATAGTTTTGCTGCTACAAAACTATTAGTAGGCTTGTATGTGAAAGAGAAAAGCTCAATTTACTCATAGGCAGTGTAATCAAAGTGACCGATGCTTTCACAAGTCTTAGTTTCTCTACCAATAGAATGGGGTAATATCTACCTCATTGAGTGTGTCATGAGCCTTACATGAAATCATCAGGCACAGATGAGGTAAGATGTGAGCTTTTGGTAAACAGTAGTTACTGGGCAGGCCCTGTAGCAGTGGTTAAGCATTGTGTAAGGAACTCGATCACACATGGCCAATGGTAGATCTGGTCTTGGCTCTAGTGGCTTGAAAATACACCAAGTATGTGTCGGTGTACCCTAATTCTTGATGGGATAGAAAAATGAAGAAGGGATTGCAGCATGGTCATTTCCATTGGGAGATGGGGGGGTGGGGCTCTCCCTCACTCCCTCTTAGGTCAGAACAATAAAAAAAAAAAAAAATAGCTATTAATGGCATACTAATACTTTTTACTGTAATTATTTATAAGAAAAGAGCTTCCCTACAAATGTTAACAATGTTTTGAATAATTCTGTCTGGTATAATGAACTTTATCAGTTGGTTTATGATCTAGGTTTAGTAATGCTAATGTCTGGGACAAATGGATGGATGGCATAATGGTTTCATCACTGGAGTCCCATGTAATCAATTGCAGTTTGAGTCCTGGGCCCAGTGGCTTAAAACTCACACTAGGCACATGTGTGTACGTGCCCAATATCCTAAGAGGAGAACTAAGAAGGGATTGTGGTGTGGCCATAACTCCTGGGGAAGGGAGGGTGCTTTCTCACTTTCTGTCTCTCTAGTGAGCTCACATGCCCTATAGCAAAAATATCTCAAAAAAAAACCCCAAAAAACAGGGAGAGAAATATATGTCTGTTGGTAACATTTTTGGATAAGAGAGAAGATTGAGGTGAGTTTGGAGAAAAAATTGCTTAAAATTAGGGAAAAAGCTGTGTCAGAAAATGAGAATATGAAAAGGCAGCATCGCACAGTGTTGAAAGCACGACCCAGCTGTGTACCTTTACTTAATCTCTCCATGCCTTGGTTTCCCCACCTGGGAGAAAAATGGAGATCATTAACACTGAATGGGATTGTCATGAAGAATTAAAGAGTTAGTATCTGTAAATGGCTTAGAGCAATACCTGGAATACTGTAAGTTTTATGTATGTATTTGTACATAAACCAGAATAGTGCTAAGAATGACTGAAGTTACACAGAGTAGACTGTTAGAAAACCTTTGGACTAAAGACTGGCACGACCTGGGAAGCCACCAGTCCCATTCAACCATTCAACACTTGGGCTTTTGCTATGTGGAAAGTGACGTATTGTGGCCACAAACAGTTGACTCACATTAGTTGAGTCACATTAGACAAAGATGGACCAACAGCTGAGACAGAAAGAAGCTCTATGTCTCTCCGGAAGAAGCAGAGGCATGTACCTAGACAACATGATATCTTTTCCCATGAACTTCTACAGCATTCTACAAGCATCATAACTATCTGTTGATTATACATAAGTGTCTCCAAAGACAGAGCTCCCTAAGGAAGAGCCTGAGCCCTGTGCACTGTGGGATCCTCCTTCCTTAGTGCTCAGTAAGTATGTGTTGAAGTGAAGCCAAAGTGAGCAATGAGATGAGGCCTGCAATTACTGAGCACCAGATACTTGGACCCTTTACTACTCCACACCCCACTCTCAACCCTTCATATCGCTCTAAATAGCTCAGTGTTAATGTGTGGGAGGAGAAATCTGTAATCTCAAGAACATGGCCCTTTGAATATAAACCAAGTCTTCTTTGTGGTGATAGCCTAAAATTTACCCAATGGTAAAACTCACTAGGAAGTCTTCTGTTGAGGGATTTCTTTCAGCCTCTTTTTTTCACTCCATCTACAAATACCTCAAAGCTGGCACAAACAAAAGTGTACTCACCAGCTTGGCAAATAAGCTTTTTCTTCTTTTCTTTCTTCCAGCCCTCCATTAACCAAGTTCTTTTCTGTGTTCCTGAGAATCTCTCTCACCTAGCTGTCTCACTTACGTCTGGGCTAACCTCACAGAACCACACTTGGGTTTACCACCATATCTTGTTGCAATTCTACCCCTGTGTCACTGTCAGAGACAGCTTCCAAAAACATAAGTGGTACAGTATTTTTTTCCTATTCAAGATATAGGCTCCTGGGACCAGCAGTTAGCGTAATGGCTATTTCACTGGACTCTCATGTAGTCGACCACGGTTCGCATCCCGGACCTAGTGGCTTAAAACTCACGCTGGGCGCGTGTGCGTGCGTGCCCAAGATCCCGAGAGGAGAATGGAGGAGAAAGGATTGTGGCGTGGCCATCCCCCCTGGGGGGGATTTCTCGCTTTCTGCCTCTCCGTCTCTCTGTCTGGTGAGCACACGTGCCCTATAGCAAAAACCTCTCCAAAAAAAAAAAGATATAGGCTCCTTATCTCTTATCTTTACCAAATCTGCTTTGGTTATGAAAGATATTTTGGCCCTACTCTACCTGCATAAAGTGTATAGTAACTGACTTATTAAGTCTGCAGGCAGAGTCTCCTGTTTTACTTAGACTTCTAACTTTATAGCACCAATCACTGAAATTGGTTCCTATTTAAATATCGTATCTATGGGACCAAGAGTTGGCATAATGGCTATGTTGCTGGACTCCCATGTAGTTGACTATGGATCGAGTCCCGGACCTGGTGGCTTAAACTCATGCTGGGCACAAGTGTATGCGTGTCCAAGATCCCGAGAGGAGAATGGAGGAGAAGAGATTGTGGTGTGGCCATCCCCTCTGGGGGTGATTTCTCGCTTTCTGTTTCTCTGTCTCTCTCTTTCTGGTGAGCGCATATGCCCTATAGCAAAAACCTCTCCAAAATATAAATAAATACAGTATCTAAAATGTTTGTTTCTATATGCTTTGCCCATGTTGTTTCCCTTGTTAAAACAATCCTTCTTTCTGGCTATTCAAATACCAGCTCTTCAGTTAACACACACACACACACACACACACACACAATCTGTGTTTCCTGTGTGTGTGTGTGTGTATTGATCAATCAATCAATAGATAGATAAATATGTATTTCTTCCCCCACAAACTATAAACTCCTTGACAGGAACTTTGCATTATTTTTATCCATCATCCAGATTCAATGAGCTCTGGCATTGTATTAAGCACTGGGCTGGGCTCTGGGGTACAGTGATGAACAAAACGACAGTCCTGGGAAAAGCAGTTGGCACAACGGCTATGGTGTTGGACTACCATATGGTTGACCACAGTTTGAGTCACGGACCCAGTGGTTTAAACTCATGCCAGGTGAATGTGTATGCATGCCCAAGGTCCCAAGAGGAGAATGGAGGAGAAGGGACTGTGGCGTGGCCATCCCCCCTCGCTTTCTATCTCTCTGTCTTTCTGCATGCCCTATAGCAAAAACCTCTCAAAAAAAAAAAAAAAAAGACACAGACCCTGTCCTCATTGCATTCTACATCTTAGTGTGTGTGTATGTAATAAAAAATGATTTATATACCATATAATTAAAAACTGATGTTAAACAGTATGAAGAAGAACTACAGGGTACCAAGACATATTGACAAAGCTGAAGCTGAGGTTGAAAGGATAAAACAGAAATGTTATCAGCAGTTAGCATAATGGCTATGTCACTGGACTCCCATGTAGTTGACCATGGTTCGCGTCCCAGACCTGGTGGCTTAAAACTCATGCCGGGTGCGTGTGCGTATGTGCCCAAGATCCTGAGAGGAGAACAGAGGAGAAGGGATTGAGGCATGGCCATCCCCCTGAGGGGCTGATTTCTCGCTTTCTGTCTCTCTGTCTCTCTCTGTCTGGCGAGTGCATGTGCCCTATAGCAAAAACAAAACAAAGCAAAACAAAAACAACCCCTCCAAAAGAAAAAATAAAACCAGAAATGTGTCCCAAGGTCTAAAGAAGACTGGTGCCTTAGAGAATGTGAGAAAAGGTCCACAGATCCATATCCATGTACAGTATCCATATACAGTATCAAGATGTACTTGCTGAAACAGAGTAAATTTGACATAGTCTATAAGGGTCATAATAAACAATGAAAAAGGTCATAGGTTTTCAAATAATGCTGAGCACCCAAAGCTTTAAAAACATGGACACTTAAGTGTGTAAAAAAGGTCTGAGAATGCTCATTTTATGGAGCTAAACATGACCAGTGAGAAGGAAGGGTAAAGGAAATGGCCCTGAATAACATGTATAGTATCCCCAACTGGACTGGTAAGAAATGTATTCATGTTGGAACATTCACTTTACAAGCTAAGTGACATGACACATGTGATTGAGTGTATAAAAGAAGTCAAAACAAAATTAAAAAAAAAAAAAGAATGAGAGGACCTGTTGCTATCAGCTGCCATTTTTTTCAAGTTCAATAAGAGAGATAAGGGCCAAAGACAACTATGACATGAACTGTTGTGCATTCCACATTACAAGTTAGGTGCCAATGCTTTACACAGGCTACCAAATGGATAGTAATGTATTCTAGTCATTACCAATGTGAGCAGGATTCAAACCAGTGACCCCAGAGGTGAGAGGTTGTTTATCCAATTACAAATTCCCACTCTCTTTAAGTGTTAGGATGCCTAAAGCAATATATTTTATTTACATCAAGATGCATTGTATTAACTATATTTGATAAAAGAGATGACTTCACATTCTCTACTTAAATCAAAGAATGCTTACTTAAGTATTTTTTTAATTGAATCAGACTTTAATGCCATCGTATAATCTTTTGGTTAACAGTGCTCATCTTGATTATTCTAACAAAGGCAAACATGGAAATTCATACTTAAGTTGCAGTTTATGATATCTATAAATTACACATTAGAAAATTCAAAAGAGTTACCTGGGACATCTGTGAAAGTTTCTCCAAGGATAGAGACATGGAAATTAAGTCCTAAATCCTTAAGATGCATTAATACCTTAAAAAAACTTTCTGGATCTTTATCATGTTCCCTGGAAATAAAAACAAAATGTAACTCGTGTTACCTTAGGGTATGTATTAGGTAAGTGGTTTTACTTCTCATAATATCAATTCTTCTCGAGGGCCTTGCTGGTGAGGAGAGCCGCTGTCAGTCAAGCAATTTCCTTCTATAATCTGACACTAGCACCAGCATGAGGGTGCATCTACACACTTCTCTCTTATGACTGAAACCCTGTCCTGTTGAAGTCTTAAGGCTCTGCGGTTTTTTGTTAAAGAAATGTGTCTTGCTTTTCAGAAGCTAGGTTTTAGACTACAGAAAGTATAGGTATTTTTCTTTCTCCTAAAATGATTAATTTTTCAATTAACAAAGTTTTTTTTTTTTAACTGTTAACCTTCAAAGCATGATTCTTTACTGATCATGAGAATATATCAGAGATGCCTGTCATTTCTATGGGTCCAAATACCTTCCACTGTTTTTCTGAGTCCTTTTGAGCCTACAAGGAACACATAATTTAGGGAGTGAGATTGCAGATCCTCTGCCGCAAATCTCTCATTTTAAATAACTAAATGGAGAATTATAAAAACATCAAGAGGGGTAGATCTGAGTCTACATTTTCTGAGTATTAACTTAGGAGTGGAGATTATTCAACATAAAAAAGAATAGTAATAAAAATAATTCTTCCATTTAGTAGAGGTTTTGAAAAACAGTTCTTGTTTGTTTAGCTTGTCTTCTTTGCAATGACAGAATGGGAAGCTAAAGGACACTAACATCAAAAAAAAAAAAGACTACAATTCAATAAATCACATTAAAATGGAAATGATTTTTCTTACATTCTAAGGTGTGAATATTTCAGTATTTCTTGCATTTAATTACACTGTTTTAAATTATCTTATTTCAGACAGATGTGGACCAGATGTCTTCAAAATATTTGTTTTTTATTTATAATTCAGAATTTTAACTTCTTTCTATATTATGGAAAAATAGTTATGTATCAGCAATTGAATTTCTCATTTACCAACTAATTATATAAAATAAATCTGTAAATTGATCAAACTGCTATATGAAATATGAAAATTACATCATTCAGGAAATCTTATGAAAAATGACATCTGCAACCCTAAATGTGTTAATTCACAATTCAGTCAATATTTTCAGTATCATGAATTAAAACAAATGTATCTTCTAATTAACATTTTAAAACAGCACTTATTATCTTATGAAATTATAAGATCTTACAGAATTAGCATTCTCTAACAACTTACCTTAAGTTCCCTATCCCTTCTCTCAGTTTGATTTACTTAAAATAATACAGAATTCAATAGCAAAAATGTTCACTGCTTTTTAAGATGATGTATATTACATACATGTACCAATGGGAAGTTTTGGGTAATTCTTATATATACCACTGCTCTGGGCAAGAACAAAAACTCAAAACATTCTGAAAGTAAAGAATACGCCATATGCTATCTTCAACCATTATCAATCAAATAGCTGCCACCTAATCTGTAAAATGTTCTTTCAGTCTGATTCTCCTATAAATATTCAGAGGAAAGGAATGGAAACAATATAACATAATCTTAAAGCAGGAGTAACACTATAGGGATATCTAGTCACTCAGTTGTCTAAATTTTTCATTTTGAGTTTCAAAAATTTTGGCTATGGATCCCCAAGATACCACCTATTCTAAATATTTCCTGCTGTTTTTATCTTTTCTTTTTTAAAAAAATATTAAAGTAAAAGTGGATGTGGTTTGGGGTTGGGAGAAGGTTTAATCAGGTAGAGGCAATAGTTATTAGAAGATTCTCAGGTGAGTATTTTCCAAGCAGCAGGCTTTATGCACTATTTTCAGTGTTCCTATATAAGAGGAATGCATTACAATCCTACTGTACTCTTTAGATATTTTGTATAGGTGGACAAAAGCTTTCATATTCAATAGTCACTTCGTGTAACACAGAAAGAGATTTGTGCGAATCCCCTCTCTTTCTGTTTAAAACACAATACATGGCTGAATGTAAGGTGAAATTTTTCTTTCCCAAATTTATCCTTCGGAAAAAGAGGCATTGCATATTAAACTCCTTACAAAATCTCTCATAATAATATCAAGTACCCTCTCAACTACTTTTTCTGAGCAAAGTACTGTTTAGGAAAGATGCATTAGCCTGAAACAGTGTCAACTGATGAGAGTTTTGGATGATTTTAGTAGTCATTTACTTGATGGGACTGGTAAAAATGGAAGCAAAGGAATTTAATACTGAGCTGGTAATTATTTTAGGAGACATGACCTAACAACTCTAAGTGCTGGACCTTGATGAAAAGCAGTATTTTAAAGATCACTAAAAAAAGTAGTAAAGTGGTTACTGGAGATCATGAGTGGTAAGAGGGCTTTTATAGCTGGGGAAGAGATTTCCAGTGATGGCATTATACAGTTTTACAAAGTCCTCTACCTCCACCACTTAGACTAAATTCCAGATGACAGGTGGTGGAAAGAGGCCAACTGCCTGAAAAGGTGGCATTCTGATGTCAAGAATGCATGAGAGAGGCGTTGGAGCAAAGCTGCTTCGTGAATATAAGTGTGGGAAAAATAGAAATACAGCTAAAAATATTCTACATAATATGCACTGCAAAGTATTATTTACATCTAAATTAGTAGATTACATATAATATACATGGATTTCATCTATTTTGCTCACAGTTTAATAATGTCCACTTAGGTGAAGTGTTTTCTATGTATTATTTTTAGAAAAATGAGAAACTGCCACACATTCAATCAGATATGCAGAAAAATTTGGCTACAGTCATGTGTCAAGGCATGGATGATATTCAATAGCAGAGCTCAAGGTAAGTTAGATATCCAGTGAACATTCATGGATCAGCCAGCACCCATCATAATGAATCCATTTAACAGAATAGGTGAATCTGTCTTAAATTCCTCTCGAAGAAATCTAATGTGAAATTCTCATATGTAAATTTTAGTATAAATCATGAAATACAGGATGGAGGATTTAAAGACAATACACCGAGTGTCCTTGTTGCTAACAGTTGTCAAGATTAAACATACATTTACTAATATACTTAATTGTCTAAAACAAAAATTACACTCTTCTCATCCTTTGCTGTTAGAAATATAAACTGAAGCAATCTTTTAGAAAGCAACTTAGCAATGTACATGATAAGCCTTAAAGTGTGTATAACTTTTGCCCCAGTAATTCCAATTTAGATAAGTTATACTATAAAATAATTAAAGATTTATACAGAAATTTAGCTAGAGTATGTTCATAATGGCATTGCTTATAAATGGGATCCATCATTTGTAAATCATTGAATGGGATAAGTAAATATATTTTGACACACACACACATAAGGCAATACCAGGAAGTAAATAAAAATAATGTAGCAGAAGTATATTTTTTGCCATGGAAAAATGTTCAAGAAATACTGTTTAGTGAAAGAGAAGTGACAAACCAGTATGATGTACTACCTGCTCTTTGTGTAGAAAAAAGTTTGGGGTGAACTATACCAAAATATTAAAAGAATTATCTGTTGGCACTACATTATAAATATTTCTTTCTTTTCTTTCTTTTTTTTTTTTTCCTGACTACAGGGTATATATGCTTACTAGATAGAGAGAAAGCACATCTCATGAGACATGGTCGCACTGCATTTCCTTCTCCATCTCTTTCTCCTTTTGGCATTTTGGGCATGCATACACACATGCATGTTTTTCAAGTCCCTGGTTCCAGGACTCAAACCATGCAGTCAGCCGTGTAGGATCCAGCTGCCTTCATCACCTTACCACAAAGCCGGTCCATCAATATTTCTTTTTTGTATGTGCATATTTTCTATCTTTATTTAATAAACATTTTTTATTAGATTTCATTTACTTAAACTTTTTTTTTTCATTATTCATAATGAATGTGTCCATGTGGACGTAAGAGTAAAAGACAGAGAGAAAGAAAATCAGAGAGAAAAGTACCCTCCACAGGGTTTGGTCATGCTGCAATGTCCTTCCTCCAGTCTTCTAGCCCTTAGAATTCTGGGGGCCTGAGCACAGGCCTGGGAATTCTAACCACTGTCACCTTATGGGATCCAGCTTCTCTTGAGCAGTACATCATCATCATATCACAGAGAAGGCTTCCTTAATAAATACTTTTATGCAAATAATTTTTAGTGCTTTTAAGAAGCCCCTCCTATCTAACTTTCTGTCACAAAAAGGCATTCATAGGACTTTTGCTGAACTTTTTAGCACTTCCAGTATTTATAGAGGCATCATTTTTCCCCTGTGATCTCCCTCTACATTTGATAGCTGGCAATGAAGCAAACTTGATTCACCACAAAAGATTCTAGAAGGTGAGGTAGTTTTCAAGTTTCCTGGCAATTTTCATACTCTTGAGTAGGTAAGAATGAAACAGTCTGGCTGGGAATTCATCCTTCCACACCCCCACTGTGGCAGAAGAGACCAGCGCAGAAATATTTCAAGCTTACTGGAAGCAGTAGATACAGCAAGAACAGCTTTTATTCCCAAATATTATTCAGAACATTTGAAAAGCATAAACTGTTTCCATGTGTTTTTTCTTCCTATATCTGTTCTCTCTCTGTTGCCTTTCCCATTTAGTTTCTTAGAGCTAAATTTCTTCTTATTCCTCACTTAAGATTCATTCAGTAAATATTTATTGAGGATTTCTAAGTTCTCCATACTTGTCATTTATACTAAACTGTTATCCTTTCCTATTTTCCAACATAACATTATACATATTGAATGCAATTTCTTTAATCTAGTTCCTTGCCTTGCTTGGGTAGCAATCTGGCTTTTCTGGATGTGACAGTGTTCCTACGACCATGTCATCTGGACTGAGAGTTCCATGAGGGGAGGATAAATGATACGTAATTGGTTTACTAACAAGTCCCTAGTGAGAATTTGAATAGTGTTTGGGTCCATGCTCTCTTTTGGGACACAGAGAAGACTCCATATTCATGCTTTTGCAGAATAACAAGGCAATGGGACTGTTCTGGCCAACAGATTGCAAGCTGATT